GACAACGTATGGAAAAATTTTTCGAGCCGACGAGGTTACAATTTAAGAGAAATCTTAACAAAAATTTGCAATATTAAAATTTGAAGTGTTAAATAAGTAAATACTAACATTTTTTGTGCTATGTATGTAAAAGAATCTTAATAGTTGTGTATTTTTAAATACAATATGAAAAAAAAATATATAATATATCATTATATAAATCTAAGTGATTACTGGCAAACAATTCTCTCGGTAATCACTTATTTTTCAGTCGACAGAAATGTAATTCCGACAAAATATTTTTGTTGCTAAAAATTAATAGCTGATTAGCACTAATTAAATATTCAGTCGCTAGAGTATTAATGACTGATATTTAGCTGTTAATTAGCCAAAAAAAATTGTAGCGGCCAAATGAGAGAATTAAATGCTTTGGCAGTGCCCTCATCCCTCACATACAATGGTAAGAATCCCATTGGTCGAGGACTGGAAGGATTCGTCGCCTGTCCTCCCACCGAGGTCTCCCCCTCATGGTAGCTTGACCCTTTTCAACTTGTCATTCTTTTGACATCCAGTGGGACCTGCAACTGACAGAGAACTCTTAATATACTCTTAATTTCAATTAGAATTAGTTCATTTGTTCTCACACTGAAAAATAATAATAGAAGGAGAAACTGAATAAACTAGATACACGCCTACCAAACCTTCGAGCCCCATGGACGGAACCACCACCTTGAGAGTTGGTTGTTTCGTTGCTTTGGTAGCAATCAAGCGAGCCTTCTTCTTCATTGTTCGAGCGGCTAGTGCCACCTCCTTCTCAACCTGAAGGATGTTGGAAGCTTCCCAATCAACCTCAGCCATTGCCCTGAGGATATCTGACCACATCACCATGTCAACTTGCTGGACCGACAGCTTGGTCCCCTCAATCTTGCTTGCCTCTAGCAGCACTTTTGCCGACGCTTTGGCCTTTACCTTGGAGGGGCATCCCCAAATGGGACTGTCTGAATGAACCACCCCTGTAGGGAGAAGCCAAGCATAATCATTGCTTCCAATCCTTCACTTTGTTCTCAGTATTTGGAATCTGTCGGTTGAATAAAACTGGGGTAGTCTATCCGATTCAACCCAACATGAAAACAAGTAGTTAAAAAATAGGTCAATATACCATGGAATCCTTCGCTGCCGACAAAACACCACAAAGCTCGTGACGACAACAATAGAAATAGGCTTTACTGGCGCCGGGAAGACCCCATAATTGGTGAGGCTAGAGCATAGCTCGGTAAAAAGAGGTAGGCGAAGGTCGAACTTAAATTGGTCCTTATATAATAGAAGGTTTGTGTCTTACAACAAGATCACTCGATCAGCTATGCTGATGACCTTAAGCTTGATAAAAGAATTAAAAACATGACTCTCCTACATTGAGTTAAACTTCACTCTCTAAGGCAATCGACCCAAAACCTTTTGGGGAGTACCAATGCACCATCATAGTTTCGTTGGAAGTAAAACACAGAAGTCCGAAGAGAGAGAGAGAGAGAGAGAGAGAGAGAGAGAGAGCAGAAGAGGCGTTCCCCGTTCCTTCACAGCTCAAATCTTATTATACATGAATAGGAAAAATGAAGGAAGTTCAACCGTCACATAAGAGTAAAATTAGAACTAATAAGTTATTTCCGTAATAGGATGTCGGCAGAATCAAAACGACATAACTCCAGAAATGACATTTATATTACAATAAGGCACTCGGAGATCAGTTTGAAAAAAACAAATTATTTCATAAGAGGATATGATGTCGCTTTGATCGGGCATGCCTCAGCAAAAGCAACCTTCTATATAAAAATTATTCTCTAGACCTAAATTGATTCAACCAATCTGACTCAACATGTGCCTGGAAAACTAGAGATCTCCATTGAACATTTGAAAATCCCGACAAAGGGTCATCACCATCTTCTCCACCTTTTCCATATGAGTAACAACTCACACTACTCCTCTCCTTGCTAGATCCCTACTGACCGAGCAAAACAAATTTCATTCTTGTACAAACAACGAGCTAGTGATGCACGGGAAATCCAAACCCTCTCGACAGCTTCCTCGCATATCTCTAGAGTAAGTGTAGGATTTTCAGGGCGATCAACTCCACCATCCTCACTTAAGAGCCGACCACCCTCGCCTCGAGCCTAGCCTTTAATCACTGGCGGCCCGGTCGAATCCTCACATGGGTCTAATAAGGCCGGATTATGTGTGCCAAAAATAATCATAAGCAAAAAATACTTCAAATTAGAATCCAAAAGATCAGACCTCGCAAACACACGATAAAAGTCCCTTGCACCCAGGAATCAAATAAACTCATATATTGTAAACAATATGGTAAGTTCACTAGGGAGCACTAGAGAAAGAAAAGAGAGTACTCTAGAAGCCACTCGAGTAAACGATCGATTGAAGGACCTTGAATCACAGTAGGAGGTTGTGTATTCTGATCAAGGTTCAAGCCGATCGACTGAATAGTCCTCTGAGTTGTGCCAGGAATTGAATTAGATGACCCCACCTGATCTGAAAGTGGAGCGCAATCCTCTTCCTCTTCATTACAGTTTCCTTCCTCGTTTCACCCTTTGGGTAGCCTCATCCTCTTGATTTCCCAAAAAATGGAGCAAATCGTACTTTTGGTGGAGATGTCAACCTAGGATTTTGTTAGTTTGTCCATCGCAATGCCTAAGATACGAAAGTCAACCAACAATAAAAAAACAAAAGTGCATAGCAAAGTAGGCATGGGAAA